TTTCCAAATCTTAGCTATGGTGAATTGTGCTGCTATGAACATAGAGGTGCATATATCCTTTCTAATTGGTGTTTCTAGTTTCTTGGGATATATTCCTAGAAGTGGGATCACTGGGTCAAATGGAAGTTCCATTTTTAGTTTTTTGAGGAAACTCCATACTGTTCTCCACAATGGCTGCACCAGTCTGCATTCTCACCAGCCGTGAACGAGGGTTCCTTTTTCTCCGCATCCTCGCCAGCATTTGTCATTTGTTGGTTTGTTGATGATAGCCATTCTGACAGGTGTGAGATGGTACCGCATTGTCGTTTTGATTTGCATCTCTTGGATGAGAATCAGCCATTTCTCCAAGGAGCCCTGGATCCTTTCATTAGAGAATGGTCTTAGAAACCGACATCTGGGTACTAGATGTGCTCATTGCTACTGGAATCACATTGCTTCTAGGCCCTCTGAGATGACAAAGCAAGGAAATAGATGCAGGTACACTAGCGTGGGAGTATACACATATCTATAAACATTTATGTGACCATATTTATCTGTTCTGAACTAGACATGAGATCATACTGATGTTTTCAACTGTAACCCATCACAGTGTGGATCATTCTAGCCTTCCCCCTTTGCTTGGCTGTAACCTCCCATTACAACAATGAAAAACCTGGCATCTACCATCCACAATCTATTTACTTGATCGCTTAATTCTAGTATACATGTATAACAGTATCAGAATTGTTACCTCATATACCCCTCGTGGGAAGCCACTTGATCAGCTAGACTAGTGCTATATATAGTTCCTTTTACCTTTAATGTTACAGACTCCACTTATTTCCAAAATTACTTTGGTCAGCACACATATACTACCTCCTTCAATGAACTTGTTTCATACATTTTTAATACACATCCTGTGATAAGTTAATTTTGTGTCAACTTAAGTGGACCGTGAAATGCCCAGATAGTTCATCAAAACAATTCTAGGTGTTTCTGTGAGGGTGATTTAGGATGACATTAACATTTAAATAGACTGATTAAAACAAATTGTGTTCCCTAATATGTAGGCCTCGTCCAGTCAATTGAGGGCTTGAATAAAAGAAGAAGGTTGACCCTCCCCTGAGAAAAAGAGGATTCTCTCTGCCTAATTGCATTCAAAATGGGACACTGGCTTTTTGCTTGACTTAAGACTCACCCTAAAATAGTTGTTCTTCCTGGGTTTTGAGCCTGCTACCTTCAAACTGGAACTACACCAATCAGCTCTCCTTGATCTCTAGTTTGTCTATTAATCTTACAGATCTTGGAACTTACCAGACTCCATACCTTATAATAAATCTATACACATAGAGAGATATACAATAAGTAAAGAGGAAGCAATACACACACAACACTATAGAATGTTATCAGCATACAAGAGAAGAGAGTAAGAGAATAAAAAGGAACAGAAAAGAACTACAAAAAGAATAAGAAAACAATTAATAAAATGGAAATAACTATATACTTATCAATAATTACTTTAAATGTAAGTGGATTAAATGTTCCAATAAAAGACATAGAGTGGCTGAATGGATAAGAAAACACGACCCATGCATATGCTGCCTAAAAGAACCCATTGCAGATAGAAAAGTACACACATATCAAAAGTAAAGGGGTGGAAAAAGATAATTTGTACAAATGGAAATGAAAAAAAGCTGAAGTAGCAATACTTACAACAGACAAAATAGACTTTAAAACAAAGGCCAGGAATCCAAGATGGC